CGCTGGAACTCTGACAGCACACCGGAACGTTTCTGGCACGGCTCTGGAACGGGCTGGCAGTCGATGGCACGAACAGCTTTGAACGCACCCTAAGTGCAGATCGCACCCGTCTAAGCAGATTCGACAAAAATGCGATCGCCATCTACGACATCATCACTTTCGGATGGAGGGAACCAGTGGCGGATACAGTACTCGATCAGATAGGCAAGCATAATATATGCAGCAGTCAGGATACACAGAATCAGTAGATATTTGAGCACGAGAATTGGAAAGATCGAACGTTCGATGACGGCACTGCAGAGCGGCAACTGAAAGACCAACTTTTTCCTGAGCAAGAAAATGCTAGTGTGGACTCAATTTCAGCTAAATGGACATGCGAAACGAAGCGTAAGATGATCCGAACATTTACGTTTAGTGACGTGAAATCTTCTAAAATTTCGAAAACGCGCTTAGCGTGGTGACATGGAGACGAATCTTGAGACTTCGCAAACGGAAGTTGAAGTAACTACGCAATTTTTAGCTTCGTTTCGCTCCAAGCAAAAATCAAGGGAGACTTACCGATTCTCTGGGAATGATCGAGCAGACAAGCTCGTTCATGAAAGCATTTGTGGAGACAAGACGTGAAGCTGCGTGAAGCGAAGGCTCCAGGTAAGTCATGATATTTACTGCGATCATCAGTCGAGCACCGAGCAAGAATGGAAGCGATAGAAACGCTACAGTGTCCACAATTCGCACCTAGAAAGAGTTGCTGTTTGTTACAGTCAATTTCGTATGATAAATACGCATTGCCACATTTAAGATCATTAACTATAGAGACTTACCACAGCGGTTGTGACCTTGCTCATCTGATGCCAGTATGTGTTGTAGAAGAATATGATAATTGCACTTGTTGACAGTGACGCGCACATTGCTCCAACTGTCATCCATAAGTTCTTCTTGTACTGTAATAAAGACGAATTAGCCATAATAAAAAACACTATAGATAATTATAGTCCAGTAGATCTCTAAACGCTCGAGAAATCTACCATAACCCATTAGACTTACTGATTATTCCACTTTTATTGAAAGTTACGATAGCTACCGAATAATCTCAATGTGCAACAGCCATCATTTCCATCCACCTT